TGATACTTTTTCTTCCTGGGCATACTGAAAGAACACAATCTACTGAAAGTGCAAACAACTTATTCTCTCGACTATGTTCATAATAATCATTTTTAAAAAGATAACTAGAGATGAGAGCTGTTAAGTAAATTGACAAGTACTTGCTCTAAGATTTTAAAATTAATCTAAATTTAATATTTTAAAGGAGTCAAAATAAATTCAGAAAAAACAATAAGAAAAAACTATAAAAGAAAAATAATATTTTCAGATGTGCTTTGTTCTGGGGGAAACATGTTCCATGCAAATATTATGAACAGCCTCCATGAATCCTTGACTTCAAAGACAATGGCTTTTCAGATGTCTCTCCAACAAAAACTGAACAAAGCGTTGTATATTCTTTACTTTAATTTGTTCCCTACCTAAGATTCTCCTCTCTCTTTTGCAGGTGAAATGCAGTACATTTTAAGGATTATGTTCCCTCATTCACATTTTTACAAACCATAAAGACAATTTTTGCATTAATTCTCATACTTTTGTCCCTCTGGATTCCTCTTCGGTTTCTTTCCTTTTGTATTCCTTTTTATGTACACATATCATGAGACAGTGTCAAGTGTCAACTATCAAGCCCTTTTTATCCCCTATGAACTTCTGCTTCTTTTCTTCTCAAACACCCTTTAATGGGAGGATTAGAGAATTAATGAGTACATATGCCCTTAACCCCAGAAGTGTACTGGTTCCAATCAAATGGTAATTCCTTAAGCCGGGTTTCATCCATTTCTAGCTCGAGTCTAGATCATCTTCGCTGAAGATCCCATCCCGGAGTGCCTTCTTGAAGAATGGCAATCGACATTTCTTCATGCACTTTATGCAGCTAAGGTTGCCACTTAGGAGCTGTACAACCTGCAAGGCATGTTCATAATATAATGTACTTCTTAACATCATATTTCACAAGGAAAAACCTAGTTCTAAGTAAAAATTAGCACTTTGTTATGTGTATATACGTACCTGACTCATTTGGGGTCGGCGAATTGAAGACTGATTAATGCACAAAGAAGCAGCCAAGATGACAAGATTCATTTGTCTGGGATTGTAATCATCGGCAAGAGCAGGATCAATTAGCTCTCTAATGTCATTGTTCTTTAACAAGGGTTTTGCCTGAACAAGCAGAAATTAAACCTTAAATCCTTGATTGTCATCCTCCTATTTTACACAACATTCAGTATGCAAAGATCTAACAAGAAGCATACCCACAAGACCAAGCTTTGCTGAGAGTAATCTAGAGCGCGGCGTCCAGTAACTAGTTCCAGCAGCAATACACCAAAAGCAAAAACATCTGTCTTCTCATCTACTATGCCATGCATTAAGTACTCCGGAGCTAGGTAACTGTCATAGTAAGTGGGGAAAATATATTAGAAATATAATCTCTTATGGTAAACTGCAAAGAAGGGTAATGTTAGGCATACAAACCCAAATGTGCCTTCAAATTTGGATACAACATGATGAGTCCAATGCTCCGGTAGCCATTTTGCAAGTCCAAAGTCACAAATCTGAACCGAGATCAATCAATATTCGAATTTTGAAGTACAAAACCAAATTCATTCTGCTTAAACACATTGGAGAGCAGGAAGCAAAAAATTTAAGGGTACCTGAGGCTCAAAATCCTCCGTAAGAAGAATATTTGCAGCCTTGATATCTCTATGAATAATTCTCCTTTGACAACCTTGATGAAGGTACAATAACCCTTCTGCCGTGCCTAATGCAATCTTGTACCTAATACTCCATTTCAATTTCTCTTTGGAACCTATGAAATAGGAACATACTCCATAAAATTGTAGTGAAAAAAATTGTTTCTAAATCAAGCATTTTCGGGTATCAATAACTAACCATAAAGAATAGAGGCTAAACTTCCATTTGGGGACAACTCAAGAACAAGGTGCATTCCACCCTCAATCCCATATCCAATTAACTTAGCAGTATTAGGATGTTTCACATGAGCCATAATCCCCATCTCCGCCAAGAAGTCTCCGATGATCTCTTCCGTCGAGCCCTTTGTCAGCCTCTTGACTGCCACAAGCTGCTCGTTTTGCAACCTCCCCTTGAAAACCTCGGCATACCCACCTTTTCCAATGAGATTTTCTACACGAAATCAAAATACAAATCTTTAAAATTTGAGATAAATCATAAAATCTCAAGGGTTCTGGAAAGAGAAATTAGAATACTTACCGCTGCTGAAGTTTTTGGTGGCGGTTTGGAGCTCAGAAAGGCTGAAGACTTTTTGGGGAGACTTGAGGTTGCAGGGATTGCTATTACCGAAAAAATCCGGCGCCACCGCTGTGTTTTCTCTCATGCTATTGCTCCTAAATGATGCCGCCGCCTTTAATACTCCGAGAGGCTGAAAAGCGGCAAAGGATTTCTTGGATTTGGTTCTGAATGACTGCGCAAATCCACGCCAACGAGAACCTTGTTTTCTGTTCTGCTCTGTTCCTGAATCCATGGAGGGTGCTCTGGAAGAACTCGTTTCAAATTCTTCACTCCTGAAGAAATCCTCAAGAACCCCAGTAGGGGAACTCGTATCTACCTTCTTCTCCATCAATCTCAACTTGTTTCAAAAACTTTCATAAACAGATATGGTTTAATTTAAATTGGACAGAAACAGAGCATTCCGATTATATCTGCAATCATTAACACCAAAGATTCAGAATTAAGGAAGGAAAAAAAATGGGGGAAGACCCCATGAAGGAAAGTTTGAGATAAAGAGAAACGTGGGTGCAAAGAATCAAGGGTTGTGATTTCATACAAGATTTTATAAAGAATGGAGTCTAACACAAGGCAAGAGAACAGAGAAAAAAACAGAATGAAAAACAAATTTTAGAGATGAAACCAAAGGAATCTCACGTTTAAAAGGAGAACAATAAAAAGATTAAATGGTGCAGAAGCTGCTGAAAGTTCTTCAGAAGAAGCTAAAATTTGTCGGATATTCTTGGAGGAATGAGACGGGGACAACACAGAAGACAAAGAAAGTAGAACAAGAGATGATGAGAAAGAGAGTAGAATTTGGACTTGGATTCATACTTACTCAAAGTTTCCATGATCACTGCCTCGTTATATACACTACAAGATATTTCGTGAAATATTTATAACCCAACTCAATTGTTTTAAATGTATTGATTCTAATTCATAAAAAATATATATATATATATATATATGGAATATGGAAAAAGTGTATATCAATGTAAACTCTAAAAAATAATTAAAATTTTAATTTTAAATTAAGTTATTTTATTTAGTTAAGACTCAATTCAAAATTTAAAAAATTATCTTATTAAATATTGATATTTAGATTTAGATTTTGATTATATTAAAATATATAATAAAATTTTAAATTTAGATATTAATATTTAATAAGATAATTTTTTAATTTTTAGATATAAATTCAAACACCAATTATTTTTAAAAATTGAGATTAATACATACTAATATATATATATATATATTTTTTTTATTATAAAATCTAAATTTCTTACCATGAGAATGTTGTATACCTAGTTTGGTTATTCAAAATTTTGATTATTATAAATTTGGTTTTAATACTAATAACCTGTCAGTTCGTGGAAATAACTTAATTATTTTTTAATTAAGGTTTTAAATTTGATTTTTTGGTGACAAACCCTTATTAAATTTGATATGATTTAATTTTGAATTAATTAAAATTCAATATAACTTTTAAATGTAAGGGGTTTAGTTCTAAAAATAAATTCAATTTTGATTATAACCAATAATTATCAAACATAAAAATGTAAGATAAAAGTTCCATTGTATCAACATTAGTGAAAAAAGTGATTACATGTAGGGTAGGTGGAATAAGATTTTTAAGAGATATAAATATAAAAAAAA